TAAGAATGTTCTCAGTGACCACTCCTTTAAGGCTCAGAGACTGCAGAAATCCCCCCACACACACCGTTTCTTAGCTGTTTAAAATGCAAAAGCAGGGGCTGGATAGATGGCTCAGTGGTTAAGAGCACTGATTACTCTTGCAGATGACCTGGGTTCTATTCCCAGTACCCACATGGCAGCTAACAACCATATATAACTCCAGTTCCAGGGGGATGTGACACCTTTTTCTGGCTTCCAAGGGCATTGCAGGACACTGGTGCACTTACATACATGCAGGCAATACACTCATATACATAAAATAAAAATAACAAATAATAAATATATATAATGCAAAAGTAACACTTTGTAGGATTGCTGCTTTAAGTTTTCTTCAAAGAATTGATACTTCTGGGTCAACTGTGTCCAGGGCTTGGGATGACTCTTAGGAATAAGATTCATCCTTAGGAATAAAGGTGGATAAAAGAACTCCAATAAAGTTTCCAGGGATTCAGGGATCATCCTGATGTTTTAAGGATGGGGGAAGAACTTGGAACCTGCATAATGGTTGCATGTAGATCATGCTGTCCAGGAAACCAAGGAGAAATGAGCTAGCTCAGATGCCCAGGTATTTTTTTAAGAGCTTTTCTGGGCTGCAGATGGATGGAGACTGTGCCCATGCTTTTGGGAAAACAATTCCCAGAATCTCAGGTGGTGGCTACTGGGGCAAGGTGAAAAAGAGGTCTCTGAGAAGCAGATGGGGAACTGGGATGAAACGTGGACCCTGTTGTTCATGCCAGCCTGTGCATTCTGCTAACCAATCCTCACCTGCTGCATCTTCATTCATGGCTCTCAGCCACCTAAAAGCAGCGTGTCTTGCTTACTTAGCTAGTGATGCCCAGAGTCAGGCATAGTGCCTGCTATATGGTTAGCTCCTATAAACATTTAGAAAGCTGAACTGGAAAGGATGGGGGTTGCCCTTTGCCTAAGAAGTGGTACTCCATGAGCTTCCTAAAAAGACAGAGGTGAGGTAGCAGGCAAACAGGGCTCTTAGCTGCAAAGGGCTGAACCCCCTGTACACGTGTTCACTGAGACTCAGGGGCTTGGGGTTGGGAAGAATCAAATGTTTGGCAGGGGTCGGAGGAGGGTAGGTGGAGCCTCAGCTAGGCCCAGTAACTGTAGGCCTTTCCTCCTGAACTAGTACAGGCTACTTGGCAAAAGGAGTGGTCCAAAGGCTTCATTCTTTAACCCTGCCATGTGCTGTCCTCTAGTGAAGCACTGATACATAATTCTAGAATGTCACAGTAATAGGGTACTGGCTGATTGGCCTGCTAGGGCAACTCATGAGTCTAGATGGTGACTTCGTGTTTGGGGACAGTGCCCCAAGCCCTCAGATGTTGTTTCTCTGAGCCTGAAAAGGTTCTAAAATAACATTTCCCCATGTGGAAATCAGTTCTGTAAATGGCAATGCAATTCTCAGCCTTTCCTGAATTCTGATTATTTCACGTAACCAAGAGTGTGTGGATTCTGAACAGAGCCCTGGCAAAATCATTCTTTTTCACTGGAAGAATTCGCTTCTTCAACTCTTCTCTTTTTTTTGTTTATAAATTTGAATCTCGGTTAAGAAAAAGAACAGAGCTCAGTTGGTAGGGTGCTTTCCTAGCATGTATGAAACCCTACCGTTTGATTTCCAGCTCTGCATAAACTAGGCATGGTGGGACATACCTGTAATCTCAGGACTTGGGAGGTGGAGGCAGGAGGATCATGTGTTCAAGGTCATCCTTGGCTATGTAGGAAGGTTCAAAGCCAGCCTGGGCTACATGAGACCCTATTTAAAAGAGAAAAAAGAAAAGAAAAGGATGAGGTTGGGGAAACAAAAAAAGAAGTCTTAGTTTCACACATTCACACACAAAGGGTCTTAGTTTGCAAACAAATTTGTTTTGTCTAGTTAGTGAGGACTGAGCTGAAGAAGGGGCAAAGCAAAAGACCAATTTCCAACTTTCCTGCACTAAATAATGTCGCTTGAGCCAGTGAAGAAGTTTATGTTGAAGTGGCTTAAATGCTACTCGCAGTAGTGCCACAAAACACTCTATTTCATGATGACCATGACAGTTGGCAAGCTGAAAGTCTCCCAGGGAAACCAGTGTTCTTCCTGGTGAATCTCTTCCCATGAGCCTCACTCTACAGTGAAGCCACCTGGGCATAAAAACATGGTGCACTTTTACCTTCGTGCGTGGATCCCATGTTACTTTTGAATCACATTCCATCAGAATAACATTTCCTTCAGAATCTTTGCTCTTTTTACTATGCTTCTTCAGGAGAAAATATGACAAAAATTCCAGAGGTTTGTCCTGAAAAATGACACCCCCCCGAAACAAAAATCCTATTTAAAATGTTCATCTGGCATCACATTAAACAAATAATGGGAAAGACGACATGAACTGGAGATGGTTAAGCCAATAAAGTACCTGCACAAGCAGAGGACCTGAGGTTGTATCCTCGCACCCACATGAAAGCTTGGGGGTGCTGTTGCACACCTATAACCTTGGGGGTGGGGCAGGTGGATCCCCAGGGCTCACTGGCCAGCCAGCCAACCTGAATCTGTGAGTTCCATGTTCAATGAGCAACCCTGTCTCAAAAACTACAGTGGAAAGTGATAAAGATGCCTGATGTCAACCTCTGGCCTACACACACTTGCACAGGGACACACACACACACATACACACACACACACACACACACACACACACACACACACACACACACACACACACACACACACAGGACACATTTTTATCAGACCTTTCAACACTATGCTTAAATTATATGGCCAGAAAACAAAGTAACTATTACTCCACTACCAATAGTAAATAGAACTTTCTAGTTCATCCCATATTCTTTCAAGCCAGCCAAAGTACCTCGTGACAACCCTTTGGCCCCATGAGGAAAGACCAGCAGGGATCTTGTGGTCTCCCAGGGCAGGAAGCAGACCTGGCATAGCGGCAGGGCAGCACTCTTGCTAGGAAACACACCCCGAAACACCTCAGTTTGCTTCCATCTCACACTGTAGGTTTGAGCCTCATCAAAATAGCACCATACGTGGTTCTTTCTGTACTAAACATGTTTAACCATTCTTTAGTGTTTGGGAGAAAGTGTAAGATTTTTCCAGGCTTCTGGGCCATCTCTGTGACCATCCCAGCTCAGATCATCAGAGAAATCTGCCAGGGCCTTTACTCACTGAGTGTCCTGTGCCTTGGTTAGTGTGCTACCGAGCTGAATCTAGAGGAGACAATCCACAGCCAACAGCAGTTCCACATGGTGTAGCTAAGCCTTCGGTGCTGCACAAAGCCAAGGGGAAACCAGAACAGACACATGGCAACAAGGAGAGAGACTGTCTGCAGAGACCATGTTAAATGGTCCCTTCCCTCACCACAGTGGAAGGGAGTCATTCCTTGAAGACTAAAGACTGCATAGCACTGAGAGTTCCCAAGTCGTCACTATTCCTATCCTAGTCTTGATCTCCCCCAAACAGGAGTTCATTTCCCTCGCTTAACTGTTATCCTTGGGACTGAGACAGGGGGTCTGTGCACTAACTTCTTGTCTCCTCATCTGTCTGGGTGCACATGTGCTCACAAAGCCAGAAGACAGCCTAGGGGTTGTTCCTTAGGTGCTGTCCACTTTTTATTTGTTCGTTTTTGTTTGTTTGTTTGTTTGTTTTTTGAGACAGGGTCTCCCTGTAGCCCTGACTGGCCTAGAACTGGCTATGCAGACCAGGCTGGTGTTGATCTCACAGAGATTCGCCTGCCTCTGCCTCCTGAGTGCTGGGATTAAAGGTGAGCACCAGCACACCCGGTTCACTTTTCATTTTTATTTTTTGCACCCATGTCATGAAATTGCCCACAGAAATTGGATCCCTTGGAACTAGAGTTCCAGTCAACATCTGCATGCTTTAGGATACAGAATGGTTCTGTGGTAGTATTTTATTTATTTAGTATGCTATTTAGTATTTATTTAGTATGTTATTTATTATTATTATTATTATTTATATATGAGTGTATTGCCTGCATTTATGTGTGTCATACAATGCCCATGGAGGTCAGAAGAGGGCATCAGATTCCCTGGAACTAGAGTTACAAATGCTTAACTGTCATGTGGGTGCTGGGAACTGAACCTGGGTCCTCTGCAAGAGCAGCCAGTGCTCTTACCTGCTGAGCCATCTCTCTAGCCCCTCACTTTTATTTTTGAAACATAATTTTATCACCACTTTTTTTCCTATTAGTTTAGAACTTACCAAGCAAGCTATGCTGCTGGTCAGAGAGCCCCAGGGATCTGCCACCTCTCCGGCACTGGGATTATAAGCATATTCTAGCATGCCTGGCTTGTTTTCTCATGGGTTCTGGGAATCGAACTTGGGTCCTCATGCTTGCACTCTGGCAAGCACTTTACTGACTAAGCTATTTCCCCTGCCAACTAACCTCTTGCTGTTTTCTGAAATGTACACTGCTTTTTCTGATAGAATATTCAAGATGTGTTGCTAACAAAAATGTTTCTTTAGACACCCCAACTCCCAGACCCCAAATGCCGATTTGCTTCTGTTCTTTTGTGTTTTCTTTCCCATCCTTTCTCATCCAACCTCATTTGCCCATCACCTTCCTGTATCTGGTTTCACACATTTTTAGTTCCCTGGCCCACACTAGGAATTACTTCCACCACTGAATAGTTTTTATGTGAAATAAAGGCCATGAGCATATTTTCTAAAGTGATTTCTGACTGAAATTAAGCACAAGACAGAAAACACTGCTCAACGTAATAAACTTTAAATAACCCAGATTTTCCTGCTTCTCTGTTTTGTATGCTTAGTACATCTCAAGCCCAGAATCTCTCAGTGGCTTTTACAAGCTAATGTAATTTATCTGAGGAACTGTGTCCCAGAGGGATAAACTGGTAAAATTTAATAAGCGCAAACTAAAAATTATTTAAGTCTTGAGTTTTTTCTAGTTTTCTTTCTTTAATGAAACACTTACAGAATCTTCTTTAGACAGCGCCATCAATCCGTCAGCCAGAGCTTGTGCAATGTCTTGGTTATTCAGAATGTTGGCCATACTCAGAGTTTCAAACATAAATTGCCCTGCAATACATAAAGTATGGACTCTATACTTACTTTATGTAAGACATGATTGAAAAGAAAACTCAATCATCAGGTACTTTTTAATGAAAAAATGCAAAGAATGGGACTAAGTTATTTTTCTTGTCGTTAGAAGTTCAATTATTAATTAAAAAATAGGCCAAAGTGATTTCATTGTAAGCATGTACGTAGTACCCACCCTGGAAAAACTCGTATTGGATGAAATCTAAGAATAGAGAATACATGAAATAAGTGAACACATGAAAAGGGACCTTATAAGTTGAAATTTTAGATTCAATCAAATATGTTCCCCACTCCCCTCCACCTTTGTGTTCAAAATGTTAATATTTTAAGTTCAGAGAAAATAGCAAACATACAAAGACACCTTTTATTTTTAATATTTATATACTTATATTTCAAAACCAGTTTTTCCATTGACTTCTCATTGCCTACAGACTATCAGCAAAAGTGTATGTCTGTCTTTAAAACATTTACCCACCAACTTTTCTAATTCTTAATATCGATGAAAGGAAAAAAGAGAAATTATTTCTTATGGTTTCTAGTTTTATAGCTGTTTAAAATTATTGAACACCTCCTAAACATGATAGAATAGGTAGTTCAAGAATATATGGGGGGAATCTCTGTGTTAGAGGCATTCGTGAATCAAGGTATAGGATATGCATTGATGAACAGAGTATCTACGTGGATACACATGGATATCTGTGTGTCTACAACAAATGGCTGGGAAAAGTGCAGATCTGCAATGGCATGGATGACACTGTGTTTTAGAAGGATGTAAAATGTTAGGGAAAAGTTAAGTACATGGTTATAGAGGCAGAACATTTTTACCCACTTAGTGAAAAGTGCTTCATTTTGAAGAATGAACTGATTTAGTTTAAGGTTTAACATTGAGATAGTACACTGTTCCACAAAGATTATTGTGATGATTTGATCAGAGGAATGGAGAGGGAATGAGAAAATCAGTTCAGTGATGTCAACAAAGGACCATGGAGTCCATCATCAAATTTTGTATTTTATTTTTTAAGATGAACATTTAACATGTAATTTTTTTTCTGTACTTGAATGGGAACCAGAATGGATTTATCTACAGATGACCTGGGGCATCAGGACAAATTATGTATTTTAGACAGAAAATAAACAGAACTTAAACTGTAAAACAAGTTATATAATAAATGCCATGGGTGAAAGAGGCACCTAACTTTTAGAGTGAGCTATAGTGGGTAAAAGATACAGATCTCGGGGCTGGAGAAATGGCTCAGCAGTTAAGAGCACTGACTACTCTTGCAGAGGACCTGGTTCAATTCCCAGCACCCACATGGCAGCTAACAACCATTCATAACTCTGGTTCCAGAGGACCCGACACCCTCTTCTGACCTCTGTGGGCATTGCCTGACATTGGGTATACTTACATACATGCAGGCAATGCACTCATACACATAGAATACAAATGATAAATAAAATATTTTTAAAAAGCTATCCATCTCCAGCTGGGCAAACAGCAAGTTTTATTCAGGGCAAATAGGCTGATACAGAATTTAAGAGGATGGCAAAGTTTGAAAGCAGGAGCCAGCTTCGGCATTTTGAACATGACTATATTTGTTTTTGTATTTGAAAAGCAAAGGAAGCGAAGTTTGCCCAAAGGTGTGCCAGAGTTGCATTTTTCATGTGCCTTTCCTAATCCTGAATTTGCTCAGGTTAGAAACGCACTTCATAACTGACTACAGGGAAGTGCCAGTGTACTTACCTATCATCCGGCCGCTGACGCTCTTCTGCAAGTCCTTGAAGAGCGGATTTAACTCTTTCCTCACTGATTTCAAGGAGTCTTCCAAAAACTCTGTGAAGCTGGACCACACCTGCAGCTTGGACTCGATAAAGTAGATGGAAGGAGGAGCCCAGTCCCGCTGTGGCCCCAGCCAGTCACTAAAAACTGACATGATTTTGCCCTTTTATTATTGAATATTTGAGGTGTGTGTGTGTGTGTGTGTGTGTGTGTGTGTGTGTGTGTGTGTGTCTGTGTGTGTCTGTGTACAGGTGCACTGTGTGGGGGTGCACATGTGCATGTGTAAACATGCACGTGTGTGCATATATGTGTAGATGCCAAAGGTCAGCCTCAGGGGTCATTTCTCAGGCACTGTCCATCCACCTTATTTTTTGAGACAAGGTCTCTCATTGGCTGGAGTTCTCCATGTAGCACAAGACTTGAGCTCAGGAAGGAGAATTCTACTTCTTATTTAAAGCACAACAAGCTCAGCTGTCTTTATACTGGATGTATTATCCTTTCTAATTAGAAGACAAACAGTTATAGTCAGCTTTCAATGGTAAAACAAGAAACTCACAAAAGACACAACGAATGACTGTTTAGTCTTGATACATAAGACTGACATATTCATCTTGAAATTAGAAATTAACTGCCTGGTGCTTTGGGAAGCAGAGTAGATGGAGTATCAGCAATAATGTACTGAATCATCTTTTCATTCTAAAATTAAAAATCCTATTCACCATTTCCCATTTCCCTGCCATGCCATTTAAATTTAACCCTGTGGTAGCCAATCCCATCTCTTTGTAAATTAAGGAAAACTGCAAAATATTCACTGTGTCTGTTGTGAACACATAAGAAGTTTTCTGTCTTTGAAAGCAATTACAGTGTGATAAAGTGGCATGTTGAATTTCATTTCTCTCCTGAACAGATAGCCATATTTGCTTCATTTTCCCTCCTATTGCTGATCAAAAGCTTTCTGATATGTTCTTTTATAAGGCGAATAAGAAAAAATGGGCCAGGTTTGGTGGCACACACCTTTAATCCCAGCACTTGGGAGGCAGAGACAGGCGGATCTTTGTGAGTTCCAGGCCAGCCTGGTCTACAGGGAAACCCTGTCTCACAAAGACAGGAGGAAAAAGAAATATTCAAATATAACACAAAGGCAGAATATGAGAATTAAAAATGGTGTTATAAAATGCATCCCAAAGAATGCATCCCACAGATTTACAGTAGATTTTAATCTTTGGGGTAGGCAGTTCCTCTCTCTGCAGAGCCACATGTGCCATCATCTGGTGATGTAAAAATAAATGAACAGGCCACATTTGCTTCAAAACTCTGTGAAGTCAATGTGCTTTCTGTTAGATCCACATGGAATCTTTTCCCTTACAAGTGTCATAGTCATGCCAAATTTCCCTAGTCTTGAAAAGCCCTTGGCACTGGAGACCAGCAAAGCAATACTTCATATAGTTTCCAGGGCGGTTCAAGCTCTGCTTGATAGGAAGTAGGGACGGGAATAAAGAAGAAAATAATGAGTGGTGTTGAAGTACAGCCATGCAGCTCTCTCGTCAGTTGGCCAATGTTACGCTTTCATCCAATATTGGTAACACCGGTATCTTAATGAACTCGTGCGCTCAGATGTATTTTCTTTTTTGATCTGTTTTCCCTCCCAGATGATGCTACTGAGTGGGATCGAAGCAAAACTCTTCTCCATCTCCTTGTAGCTACAATTCATGTTCCCAAACAAAATGGGGTGATTCGATTTTCTAGGAAAAATTACTCTGTACTTATTTCTCTAGATCAGCAACTGTTCATCTTTGCTTAACTCTTAATGAGAGTTTGTAAATGATGACTGGAAGCAAAATAGGTGCAGTAAATAACCCTCTTCTAAATGAACGGCTCAGCGGTGTGAAATTGCATGGTTGGGAAAATGACAACATTCCTTCAGGGAGAGCAGCAGTTAACCTAGGCCAGATCAAGATTATCAGCTGCACCTGTCCAGCAGGGACACTGCAGTTGGTGAATATTATTGGGCGCAGGGGTGAGCTCGCACATACACTTACTGTGTTGGTAAGAACCAGTCGCAATTCCAGTGGGAGCGGAGAAGAATGTGCCAGTTAGTTGAGACAGCTGAGAAAGAACTTCTACGCCTGCCTCTGCACGGTCAAAAATACTTGCATTAGTTTACTCACAGGTCTCTCCAAGAACAGTTAAACATCACTTATAAGCATAAAGGAGCTGGCCAAGAAAGACCACGTGCAGTTGACATCCTCAATTCAAATCCCTTGACCCATAAATATTTCTCCTCTTACCCTACAGACAGAAGTTCAAACACCTAGTTTATGGAAACTAAGCGATAGGATGGGGAAAGGGGGAGTAAAACTGGACCAAATGCTCATCTTCAAATTTGATTCAAGTCAAAGACAGAGAAGTCCTTACAGATATTTTTCTAAAATAGTCTGACTAAAAGGAGAATTCTCACTGAGAGTGGACAGACCCAAAGGAGATAAGCACAGAACGGAATACAATGGTCAAAATTTAGTGGAGGAGCAATGTCTCCATCTTTTCAACGACACAGATTGGAAGAGAGGGTGGATTATTGAATTCAGTGGATAGACTGAATTACTTGTGAGGAAATTTAAGTCATGGGTGAGGTATGCTAATTCTTTGTGGTCCAAGAATAAACACCTAAAGTTGTTTCTGTTTCTACAAGATGACAGAAGCTGGTGGGTTTAGATGTCTCTCGCTGATTGGTGGCTAATATTTTCATTGACAATGAAATCAGTAGAAAGTCCAGAAGTGAACCTACATCTATGCTGTCGATTGATTTCAATGAAGTTGTAGGTTAAATTTGTGGGCGCAGGGGCAACAGTCTTCTTTACAAAGGACATTGCTGGAGAAATTAAGTATCTACATGTAAAATAAATTCAACCCCAACCTATACTTCATACTCCATTAAGAAATAAATCAAATGGGTCACAAACCTAAATATAAAACCAGAGTTAAACATCAAATCCTATAAAGT